CAAAAATGATTTTTTTTCAATGTTTTCTTTGCAATGCAATGTTTTCTTTACAAAATCCTGCATGCTGCACCTTTTGGAGCCAGGTTTGCAGACCGCTCATCCACACCCAGGTCCATGCCATGAAATCAAGCAGGAGCAAGTACAAATCAGCATTTTTTGTTCCTCATCATTATTTTTTTCACAATAAATTGAATTTCAATCAATTTGATTGTGAAATCACAATAAAGCTAAAACAGTATACATATTTTAGTTTTACTGAACAATGCCATTGGTAGACAACCGGGGAATACATTTTTTTCTAAAGACATTACAGCCATTGCCACCAAACACAATACAATAGGATAAAACACCAGTTCACAATATGCTCCCAAGGTCCGTTGAATAATCCCTTGATACTCCCCTCAGTATTACTACTATCAAGCAACTGTTGTATAATCAGTGTGAGTGTTCCCTTTCTCCAATCACATGCAGTATGTCACTTGGTGAGGGATGGATGGAGGGCTGCATGGGGGGAGGGTGAAAGGGAGGCAGCAGCCAGCCAGCCAGCCAGCCCCTCTTCCTGGTCACTGGCTGTGTCCCAGCAGTGTTTTATTTTTTATCTATATATGTGTCATGTTTTCTTTGATAGGCAGAATTGGCATGCATGATTAATGGGGAGTGTGTTTTCAGACAGCTGATGACTGTGTGACTTTTATGGAGTCATAGGATTGCTGGAAAGAGTTGCAGGGTGGACTGTTATTGGATGGAGGGAGGTCAAATGCTTGGCCAGTACCAGTGTGCAGCCAGCATTTCTTGCAAGAAAGAAGACTAAACAACCCCACCCACCCCCAGCCACAAGTAGGCAATCTGCAAAATTTCTCTCACACTATCCGTTACATAGTAACTTTCAATTTTTTGCTGGCCACAAAGCTTAGGGGGGGAGGGAAGAGTGGGGGAGAGGGAGGGAGGGAGGTAGGCAGGCAGCCTGCACTCCTTCCTGGTTACTGAACGTGTCCCAGCAGGAAGACGGCTGAGTAAAGGGTGGGGGGGCAGTTATGATCCCAAAGGGGCCCTCTCAGGTGAGGGCCCTTAGGCCCCTGAGGTGGAGATGCATGGCCTGACTCAGCTGGATGGCTGTCAGGCCAAGGTAATATCCATTACATAGTAACTCTCGAATTTTTGCTGGCCGCAAAGCTTAGGGAGGGAGGGAAAGAGAGAGGAAGGATGGATGGATGGATGGATGGATGGATGGAGAGAGGGAGGGAGGCAGGCAGGCAGATGCGTATAGTATAGTTTTATAGAAGTTTTACAATATTTTATATTGCAAAGGTGCTGGGGAGGAAAATTCCTCCTTCTGTTATACTACTTTCTGTTACCCTTATTTATGTAAAATCTTCCTTTTGCAAGTCAGAGAACAAACTCAAGGAGATAGAAGCCTCAAGGAGACAGAGTGGTGGGTGGGTGGATAAGTGAGTGGGGCAAAGAGCCCGCAGGCAAGGCCTTCTACCCAGACCCTGGAAGGGAATTTGCAGGAGGGCTCAGCCAGTAACCAAGAAGAAAGCCTCCACAATTCAGAAAAAAACCTCAAGCCTCAGCTGCATTTGCGGCCAGCAATGATTCAAAAGTTACAAGGTGCAACTTAGACAAGGTGTAAAGCAGGGGTGAGTCAGTGGGGCAAAGAGGCCGCAGGCATGGCCCTACTACCCTGGACCCCAGGAGGGGATTTGCCGGATGGCTTGGCCAGCAACCAAGAAGAAAGTCTCTGCAATTCAGAAAAGAAACTCAAGGAGTGGGTGATATGGAAGGGCCCACCCGTGCCCCCAGCCCTATTCCACTGCAGTGGTCATAGTTCCCAAGCACAGCTGCAGCTGAAGAAATGAGTGAAATGGGCCTGAAGAACTTGTGCAACTCATGCTGATACAGGCAGCAGGGAGGGTTTTCCCCAGCAAGAAGCTTTTCCCCAGTCAGAAAACACATATCCCAGTCTGAATTTGCTGGGACTTGGCCAGTAACCAGGAAGAAGGCGAGAAGAATATGAAGTGGGCCTGAAGACACAGTTCTGTATTTACTCCAGTCATAAGACATGCATTCAACAACACACACTTACCATACTCGAGCTGATGCTCAGGCCAAAGCCAGTGAAGAAAGCAGGAGGGCTTGGCAACCAAGAAGAAAGCCTCCGCAATTCAGAGAAGAAACTCAAGCCTCGGCTGCTTTTGTGGCCAGCAACAATTCGAAAGTTACAAGGTACAATGGAGAGGTGTAAGGCAGAGGTGGGTGAGTGGGATGAAGAGACTTCAGGCATGGGCCTACTACCCAGACCCAGGAAAGAATTTGCCAGAGGGCTTGGTCAGCAAAAAAAAAGAAAGCCTCCAGATTTGTGGCCAGCAACAATTCTCAAATTACAATTTCATAATACACTCATTAGCAAACATGGCCAGCAACCAGGAGGAGGGTGAGAATAATATGGAATGGATCTGCAGAACTTGTGCAACTCTTACCATACTCAAACTAATGCTCAGGCCAAAGCCCGTGATGAAAGCCTCTGCAATTCAAGTAGTAGACAGAAGAGAAGCCTCAACAGTACTTGTGGCCAGCAACCAAGATGAGAGTGAGAATAATACGAAATGAACCTGCAGAACTTGTGCAATAATTCAAGTAGCCAGAAGAGACGCCCCTGCAGTACTAGTGACCATCAACAATTCAAATATTACAGTGTGTAAATGCAATTCTTAATAATTCATCATTCTTAATAATATATGTATTTACTGTAGTACACATTCATTTTATAGTCAATACGCATTTCTTTATGTGCTTATTTACAGTGACAGTCACTTGATAGTAGGCTAGTGAGGGGACTGTCACTCAATGAATATGAGTCCCCTCAATGATACACTTCACATCGCATAGTGTCCTATTAAAAATAGCCTCAGCTGCATTTGTGGCCTCACCAGCAACCAAGGAGGAGGACGAAAAGAAAGCCTTGCCCTCCTTCTGGTGAAGCATCAGGCCCAGAATTCAGTACTTTTCCCCAAGCCAGGAGGCCCAGTCATGGGAACAGAGCAGGGGTGGGCAAAATGCTGCCTGCGGGCCGAATGTGGCCCACCAGACCATTCTATCTAGCCTGTGGGGCCCCTAAAAAATTTAGAAAGTTAATATTTATCAGCCCCTGGCTGCCTGTCATGTGGCCCTCAATGCCTTGCCAAAACTCAGCAAGCAGCCCTCCGCCTGAAGTAATTGCCTGCCCCTGGAATAAAGAAACCTAGGGAGGAGCTTGCTCATTAATATGGCTAGTAACCAGGAGGTGGGCAATCACCGTCTTGGGGGAAGAGGCAGGGAGGAAGGGTACATAATCACTTACCTTATGCTCACTATCTGCTTTCTCATCATAAGGAACTGACCTGTGATTATAAGTCTATATAACATAAGTCTATATCATATATTAGCTATATATATATATATGGTGGAGACCCAGGATGTGTGTGATGTGTGCCCAGGATGCATGGTATGCATGCTGCAAGAGGCAGCTGTGGGGACGGGGGTGGTGATAAGGCAGATCTACCTGCTTTGAAATGCCATGATAAGGAATCAAACTGTTACAATTATTATTTACCATTAATAAATCTTCATTAATATTAATATTATTATGAATCTTATTAATATATTACTATTAGAATTAATATTATTATTGCTTCCTATTATTAGTATTACTTGTTATTATAAGTCTATATAAGTCTATAGGATGAAAGTCAACTATAATTATAATGCATAATAATTCAGTTGTTGAGAGAATTCTGAAGGAAGTGTTGTCATCCTCTTCATCTTCTCTTTCTTTCTTTCTCTTTCTGCCTCTTGTCATACCAATAGGCATTGATCAGCCTGCAGCTAGCAGTAGGAGGGGATCTAAAAACAAGAGGGAGCCTAGAAAGAGCATTGGGAATTTGTATTGGTGCTTCTTGTGTACCTCACGTACCTTCCTTCATGCCCATAAAATTCCACCAATCACATTTATAATAAATTTGAACTAAACAGTGCATTCCACCCAACCAGAGATGACCCTATCAGGGTGACCCTATCAGGGTGCAGGGCAGTGGCATACTGGCAGTAGCAGGTGAGACAGCTACCTCAGGCACAGACGCAAAGGGGCTGCCATTGGTAGGTGCCTGGGGTTGCCACACTGCTCAGCCCCTCTCTGCCCTTCCCCCCCCACTGCCAAAGCTGCCACCAAAGGCAGCTTGTCTGGGGCACACGGGAGCAAGGGCAGCAGCACCCTGGGATTGGCCCTGGGCACTGGAGACCCATGGTATGAATTAGCCTCCCCCCACACAGAGCCAATCCCGTGTGCTGCGGGGGCTGTGGAGGGTGGGGAGGGGAGTTGGTGAGCGTCTGGATGCAAGGCTGACAGTGGCACTGAGGAGTTGCCCCGTCTATTCCGCCTGTCTCCACGGGGTCCCCAAAACACTATGCCTGGGGCTGTTGCTTCTATTTGTGCCCCCCTAGGGACGACCCTCAGGGCACAGACAAGTGTCAGATGTTACTTACCAAAGGTGGCATGGAGCATTTTTGCCATGTCCTCTTTTGAGTCGCATGTCACAGAGGTGCAGGCATCAAATAGCACTGAAAGCTTCATCGCATCCCACTTAATAAGCCTGCAGTCTTCTCGAACCCTGGATTTGCATTGCTGTCCTCCCCCAGGGTTAAGTCTTGTGCCTGGGATGAATCCTTCTCTGCCTCCACTTTAGTGTCATCCCTCACCCACCTCAAATCTCCCTCATCGATACAGCAAACTCACACCTCAACCTCTGCCCCACCTTCAGCGAGGCAAGCACCCCGCCCCCTGCAAGCAGCCTTGTTTTGGTGTGGAAAAAAACCCAGACACTCTGGTGCTGGGCTGGAAAAGAGCACAAAAAGAAGGTGGGAAAGTTTGCAAAGCCCCTGGTTTTGTGTGCAAGCAAAACAGGTCTTAAACCCCATGCCACCCCCCACCCCCCATGGCCTTGCTTTGGTGTTCCAAAACAAAGGAGACACTGCCTGGCACCTGGCTAGAAAGGAGTGCAAAAAGAGTGCTGAAAAAGCTCATTTACAAAGTTTCCATCTAGGGAAAATGCAAGGGTTGTGAAAAGTGAGCCAAAGAGCCTCACTACCACACACCATAGGCAGACCCAACTGGGAAGGCATGAACACCTGTGGATGACTTTGCAGTCTGGCTTGCCAAAAAGCAATCCAGGCTGCTGGGGGGTGATACACCACTTCCCTTCTCCCAACTAAGGGAAGTGAAATCAGAAACAAGATGACCTCAAAAGTGACTTTCCAGATTGGGTGCTGCCTTTGCAAAATGCTAGTGTGCAGGCCAGCACCTGTGTGTTGTGACCCACCCAGGCAGCCCCCCTATTTACCTCTGAATCCCCACTGTATAGCTGTACAAGAGAGATTGCCAACCCCTCCCCTCGGCCCCATGCTGCAAGCGGCAGGAAAAACAAACAGAAAAATGAACCCAAACAATGAATGAAATCCACCTTCCCAACCAAACAGTGTAAGGGTGGATATGGATCAGACACAGGAAACCATGAGGTTTTATTGTTTGGAACACACTATTATAAGCATTTACTTGTGCTTCTTTGCCTTTACCCTACCATGACCCTGAACTACCCCGTTTCCCTGAAATGCAGTGGCGCTCTCCTGGCCCTGCTAGCAGTCGTACGGCCCTCCTGTGACTCCACTGAGTTAGGGGGAACAGGCTCAGTTATAATTTTCTGTCTGGGTTTTTCCTGCATAGAGGCAAGCTAAGCAGACTGACTTTTCCCTTCCGGTCATGGTACCCATTTATTTAAGAGTTAGTTCTGCACACTCTGAAAAGCATCACTGAAATTTTCCTGTGACCTCTGTAATTCAACATGGGACTCATTGACCATGTCTTTCAAACTCTGCATAGTGCCTCACACTTTCTTGAAGACAGCATCATCCTTACACAGTAACTTGAGGAGTTTGTCCTGCCAGGCATCTAAGCATGTCATTCTGGCTAGTGAGGACTCTGCCAAAACCTTGAGTGAGCTTTCATGGAACCGTCACTTCCTGCTGTGAAAATCCCTGCAGCCATGGGTCACAGTGGCTGATAAATTAAAAAGCAATGGTTGCATTCCACCCAGGTTGAGAAAAGTACACACCCCCACCGTGCAGTGAACATAACGGCAAGCACAGAATCAGACCCCACAACAGTGGGGTACCACTTGTACTGCCCAAAACTTACAATTACCCACTTTGGAAGCAGGTCCACAGCTGCCACTGCCCATGCTAGCTGCAAAAAATTAAAGCAAATAATTAGTTTGGCATCTGTTACGTTACGAGCTATCAAACCCATCATGCACCACCACTGAAAGAACATGGTGACCCACCTACAGCAACACATGAATTTCTCCCCCTGGCCCCCAGACACAACCAGCACAAATCTGGGAGCTGCCTGGCAGTAGCAAGAGGCACATTATAAGAGACCTACCAGGTCCAGCATGATCTTGGGTCTTGGTAGCAGTAGATGATGTATTGGCCGCATGAGTTTCTTCCTGACCCTCCACCTCCTCCACTTCATCATCTGTGCTACTCTGTGGAATGGAGGGGCAAAGTGGCACTAAGTGTATGGTGACCAACATTTTTTCCTGCCAGTCATGGTCATCATGGAGCAGGGAATGGTTTGCGTACAGCTGAGATGTGCTCATGGTTTCACCCTCAGGAGGGGCTGCTGCCCCTCCTCCACCTCCTCCTCCTGCCCAACCCCGGTGCTGAAAGTCTCCATACCTGGGTTGTCACCCATATCCTCAGAGAGAATGATGGACAGCTTGTTGTAAAAGGGAGCAATTGTGCAACCTGCCCCAGAATGAGAGTTCTCATCTTTGGCTTGGTAAAACACAGATCTCAGGGACTTGATCTTACACTGAACCTAGGTCCAGTCACGACAGTGCCCTCACACCTACATGCCCTTTGCTATCTCAACATAAAGAGGTTTATTCCTCCTACTTTCCAGCCGTCTATAATCCTTTGCTCTGACCAAATGTCAGTTAACTCTTCCAGTTCTTTCCCGGTCCAGCTGGGTCTATGGGCATTGGAGGTATCAGCCTCCTGGGATGTCAGCTCCATACTGCTGACTTCAGCTTTCTGAGACACGGCAAAGCAGTTCATAGGCAACATCACAAACAATCTGTGAGAGGGGGCTTTGGAAATTTGGGGGGGGGGTGCCTTTATACTCAGGCTGTGCTTGCATGAGAGTCTTGGAAAATTCCAAGGATTGTGAAGTCATTACCTGTAAGTGTCAAAACACCCAAAGGTGATGAAGCACCCATTTACCAACAAAGACCTGGTGATGGGGTTGAGAATGGGGTAAATAAGGCCATTGTACTTTGGAATGGCTGCTCAATGGCCCAGAATGTTACAAAAATTGATACCTACCTGCCTGATTGTGCAAAATAATGTTATTGCAGAACCACAGCCTGTTTTCCCTGAAGTGGCAAAGTTTTGAGTAGCCTACATTACCAGGAGAGGAGCAGGCAACATTTTTTTTGTTTGCAGGCTTGATTAGATCAGAACACCAGTGGCTGCTTAGCTCAGAATGAAAGGATTATGAAAATGACACAGCAGGTAGACCAAGTGAAAATAGACGGTGAACTCCGAAATGTAGAATGCTGCATAGGTCCTTTCCAATACATCACGCTGGCCTCCATCTGCATGGCCATGTACAGGTTTATGTTTTTGGAATTTCAGACCATAGCGCTTCTCCCCCTGGACAACTATCACAGACAGAAAAAGAGGTTTTCAACCCCATCTATCCAGTGGCTAATGTACATTTTGGAGAAAGAAAATATTCAAATTCAACATGCTTTACAGGGTGGGGAATTTCAGGTAGGTCCCTTTTTTTAGATGGCTATGCCAACATTTGAATTTAACGGATGTTTTTTCCATGGTTGTGTCACTTGCTACAATGAGAAAGACCAGAACCCATTGACGGGGACCACCTATGGATTTCTAAATTACCAGGCATTGCACAAGACTGATTATCTCAAGAGAGAGGGGTTTACTGTTAGGAACATTTGGGAGCACGAGTGGAGGGCTCTGTTAGAAACGGATGGGGAGCTGGCAGATTTTTTAAGCAGAACCCTGCTGCCTTCGGATGCAATTTTTAGGGAGAGAACTAATGCCATCCTTCTATATTACCAAACTAAACCCAGCAAACAAACACGCTATTATGATTTTACTAGTCTTTACCCCTTCATAAACAATACAAAGGAATACCCAATCAGACACCCTGAAATCATTCATGACAATTTCCAACCCCTGTCGAGCTATTTTGGAATAGCCAGGGTGAAACTGTACCCACCGTGAAAACTTTTTTTCCCTGTGCTACCCATCAGGGTGAACTGGAAGCTTATGTTCACACTGTGCCACCTCTGTGTAGAAACAAGACAGCAAAAATGCAACCACACTGATGAAGAGAGGGCCCTCCAGGGCACATGGTGCACACCAGAATTGAATAAAGCTGTTGCCAAGGGGTACAGAGTAGCTCATATCTATGAAGTCTGGCATTTTGCCAAAAGGTCTGGCACCCTTTTTTCATGGCACATAAAAATGTATCTCCAACAGAAGCAGGAAGCCTTGGGCTTCCCCATCTGGTGTAAAGACCAAGAAAAACAAGAGAGATACATAGCCAATTTCTTCCAAAATGAAGGCGTGACCTTATGCCCAGAGCATATCAAACCCAACCCCGCAAAGTGCCAAATAGCAAAATAGTTTCTAAATTCTTTGTGGGGTAAATTCAGTCAGAGAACCAACTTGCCCAGCCCCACCATCATGAGACCCCAAAGAACTCTTTGGCTACCTCTTTTCTCCCACCTATGAAATTTCATCTTGCGACTTTATTGATGATGAGGCAGCCTGCGTGTCTTGGAAGCATGCCAAAGAGCATTACATGCTCTCAGGTAAAACAAACATCTTTATAGAATGTTTCACCACCACTTATGCACGCTTAGAGTTGTACAAGCTGTTAGACAGCTTGCAAGACTGTACCACAACACAGATTCTGTGATATTTGTGAGCCGCGAGAGAGATTGGAACCCCCCACTAGGTGATTATTTAAGTGAGCTCACCAGCAAAATCCCACCAGATGAACACATCACGGAGTTTGGGTCGGCTGGTCCAAAAACATACGGGTACAAGTTGTCCGGGGGAAAGGTTTGCTTGAAGGTCAAAGGGATTACCCCGAATGTGGCCAACTGTGAAAAAGTCAACTTTGAAAACTTGAGAGATCTTGTTCTAGATTATGGGGCAAACCCCGCTGGGAACACCCCTAAAACTATCATGATACAACAGCGCTCTATCATCAGGAACAAAAGCAAGTGGATGATAGAAACCAAAGACTCAAGAAAAATGCAGAAAGTCATTTATGATAAAAGAGTCCTCACAGAAAACTTTGATAGCCTCCCCTGTGGTTTTTAAACATGGATATGCACTGGAAGCACCCCTTTACTGTGATTTTGGCAGGCCCCAGAAACTGTGGTAAAAGTTACTTTATAAAAAACTTTCTGGATCGTGCTGATAGAATGTTGTCTGTTATGCCTGAGAATATTGTGTGGTGCTATAGCTGCTGGCTGCCTTTGTATAAAGAACTGTTTTGTAACTATCTGTTTATCAAGTTTATGGAGGGCCTACCGGACAGCCTCAACAACAACTGTTTGCTTCCTCCTAATAAAATAAATATGATAGTGGTAGATGATTTGATGGGCTTTGCTTGTGACAGTGGTGAAATCGAAAAAGCCTTTACCACGTATGTGCATCATCGGAATCTTAGCATTATGTATATAGATCAAAATGTTTTCTGTCAAGGGAGCCACACCATTACCCTTAACATAAAATACATGGTTTTGTTTAAAAACCTCAGGGATAAGCTACAGATAGTGTTCCTGGCATGGCAGGCATACCTGGGTAAGGCCCAGTTCTTTCTAGAAGCTTTTGAGGATGCTACTAAAACACCTTACAGGTATCTGGTGGTTGATTTAAATGCTTCTACCCCGGACGCTTTTAGATTAAGAACCAGGCTTTTTCCTCCTGACGAATCTGCTGCTTACACTTTAAAAAAATCAGTGGGTGGGAATAAAAAGAGAAGATGTAGCGATGGCTTCTTCTTAGCTGTCAAGACAGTGGAAGGGAAACATGTCTAACCATGTAAAAATAAATTTGGCTCTCTTAAAACTGCTTCTTCAATCCTCCCCACAGCAGAGAAAAGCTATACTCTGCTCGACCTCTGACAATTTAGTAGCGGCCATTTCAGAAATTGCTCTGAACACCTTAAAAGGAAACATCCCTTTAACACAGCATCAAATTCGGGTGCTCAAAAAGAGACGTGGGATCATAAAAAACCCAAGTAACAAAAGATTGCCTCTTAAAAAAAGGAAACAGCTGGTGAAACAGCTGGTTGGGGGGGGCGGGTATCAGCCCTCTGTTAAGTTTTGCTCTCCCTTTGATTACAGGGCTTTCAACTAGCTGGTGATGGAGCATGCAGAAAAAATGTACCTGGTGCCCGAAATCAGCAGGAACAATTAAGAGCTGCCTCACCACCTCAGGAAAATATCAGAATGGAGGCAACCCGCTTATTGGATGCTGAAATGAGGGATATTCTCCAAAGGCCGGGTTTAGCAGAATATGATAAAGCTAAACTGTATGCTGCTGTGCTTCAGAAATACCTGACCTGCGTAAATTAACTGTTAACAGGAAATTAACTGTTTCTGCCAGAACAGACCCCCCCCCCCGAGAAGCCAGAAACCCCCTAGAAACCTCAATGAACCCCGACCCTGTCGTTTAGGAAGTATTGGATAACGTGCATACCCAATACAGGAAAAATGCTAAAGTGTTACTCACTAAGCTGAGCCAGAACAAGGATATTTCTTCTTGGGATGATCCAGGGGGGTTTGT